AACACCTTGGTTGCCGCATACTCGTTGATGGGAAGGAGTTCGGGTGAACGAAGACAGGGCATACAGCATCGTCGGCACTCAAGGAGCCAGATTAGGGGGCCAAAACCACCACATGAGAAACACGAGGAACTGCGGCAAAGAGTATCGTAGAGGTCCTCGAGGGTGAAAAAAGAGCCAGCTTGTGTTCGAAGCATTGCTGCGAGTGCATCGGGGGCATAATAGGAGACGCGTTGGAAAGCAAGCGATTCATCGACGGCCTTGCGGACACCTCTGTTGACGAGTGAAAAGGATGCGACAGTGGTCTGGATATCGCAGCATGTGGAAATGATGTTGTCCAGGAGCTCGCTCGGAAGAATAGCGAGCTTCCCTAGTGTGGCTACTGGATTCTTGGCTACCATGCGCGTAAAAGGGCTACGGCCTAGGATGACTCCACTAAAGACTCGTGGGTATCCGACGACCTTGTCCATCGTAAGGCGTCGTTCTGCCATGGCGTGAGAGTAGAAAGGATTGCGTTGTATACGTCTATTTGTCATTTGTTCTTACTGGTGGAGAAGCGTGCGCGATCAAGCATTGCAACTTGCTTCTTTACCACCGTGACCTTGGATCCTTACAGCTCTCTTTCTTACCAGTGCGTCACTTGTCAGTGCTATACTAAATACAAACTGAACTCTTTTCCAGTGTGCACCCAAGAAACCGTCATCTACACTTGTGGCTGTAAACACGCCAGCAATGCGCTAAACAAGAAGGCACAAATTGGCGGTGCGAGACCATCAAAAACAAAGACTTGAACGTCGATAACCACTGCCTGAAACACTCCGTGCCAAAGGCTGCTTGAGGTCAGTTTCCTTTCTTTATGGCTCAACGTTCAACGCTCAGCGCTCAGCACTCGCGTCGTCTAGAACTCGCCTTTTCTTGTACTTCTCGGTCTTCTCGGTCTTTTCTCTGTGGACGATACTAGCATATGTCCTGTCTCTTTCGATCCTGCCTGGAATTTTCTCTCATTCCAACCCCTGTATCGTCTTGGGACGCGCGTACGAATCTCTATATAGCTCCCACTTCTCTTCTTCTCCTAGTTCTGTGGCCCTTGTGTATCGTCTACTTGTGATGAATGTATAAGCGAAGAATCTATGTCCCTCTCCGACCGACAGCATAATGATATATTCAGCGTTCAGACTTTCGGTGCGAAATATCTATGTGGTTCGATATCGTGATCGAAAGGCAACCGGTATATTTGTTCATGCTTGTGGCGACGTGCTTGTTTCGTCACCGTCACCACCAGCTCATTTTCGAAGCGTCTACCATCACCAGTGCGCTGCTTGACATGACCTCGCTGTATGCCAACTGACCTTCCGCTGTTCCCAGTGTGCACCCAGCAAATTTTGAAATACACTTGCGGCTGCAAACACGACGGCGCATTCCAGCAATGTGCAGAAAGAGCGGGAACGCACGTACGATGCGAGGAAATCACTCACGAAATCGACAACATCGAGAATTACTGCAAAGAACACACCGTCTCGTCGACGAAATGAAAAAGGCGGCTTTTTGAGGTCAGTCTCACCTTATTTTTGTACAGAAGCTGATCAGAGAGCTCACTATTCATGTCGTCCAGAATCTGCTTTCCTTCTTGTGTCACCTGGATTTCTCGGTACCCACTCTCAACGGATCCAGTATTTTGAAACCTCTCTTTGGACGATACTAGCATATACTCAGCCCCTTTCTGTCCTTTCTTCCTAGCGCTAAGAATTCGAATCGAACCCTTTCCCTTTTCACACGAATGCTATGTTGTCTCTCCTCTCTACTCCAGAATCCAGTGTTTCCTTTGTATAAATGGCATTGAGTCTTGATTCCAGGGAGAAATCTAGTTGTGAAAATGACGAAGCGCTTCGCTAGTTGTCCTGTGGCTTCTTAATCAAATCATGCACTACAGTATATATTTTTGGGGACTACGCATATCCTACTTTCCTTCAGACTGCTGCTCTCCGTTAGGCCAGGGCCATATACGGAAACTATCGACTCTGTGCCCGAAATAGAATTCCCGTTTCCTTGTTTTGACTTCTTCAAATGTCTCTTCCATATCCTCTTCCCGTCTGGGCAGTCTGTCTGAACGTGTTCTATAAGTCCCTTGTGAGTGTATACCGTATCATATCGGCGAAAATTGTCATCATCGCCCGCTTCATCACTGTCGGAATCCCATCTGCCCCCAGACACCAGGTTCATACAGCCTTTGCAGGAGAAGACTTTGACGATCTTTCCTGAACGTCGGTTGAAAAACGGTAGAGAGGCAGCTACCATGTAACGAGCGACGTTCTCAGGCCAGCGCATCACGGCATTCTGGGCGATGAAAGACTCGTACGCCTCTTTGCGTGGGGGAACGGAGTTGATTCGAGCCATAAACTGCGCCTCCCCTCCAGCATCTTCAACTGCTACTGCACGAGCATGAGAAAAGCTTAGCAGACACTGGGAATCCTGATAATATCTGCGTAGCCAGCCGTATTGGCCGGGCACAGTGCAAACTGCAGGCACCCTCGCTAATACGGCTTCGGATACCCCAAACGCCGTAGTTGCCATAGACAGGGATATGGGAAGGAGCCCAGGTGCTGTATAGAGACAAGGCATGCAGCATCGTCGGCACTCGGGGAGCCAGAGAAGGGGGCCAAAATTACCACATAAGCCGCAGGAAATATCTCTACAGAGAACATCATCGAGGTCTTCGAGAGTGAAAAACGAACCGGTTCGTGTTTTGAGCATTGCTACGAGGGCACGGGGACATAACGGGAGACGCGCTGGAAAGCGAGCGATGCATCGACGGCCATCCTGGCACCCCTATTGACGAGTGAAAAAGATGTAACGATAGTTTGGATATCGCAGCAGTCGGAGATGATCATGTCCAGGATCTCGTTAGGGAGGGCACCGAGCCTTCCAAGTGATGCGACTGGATTATTGACTACCGTGCGCTCTAAACGGCCAGGGCTCGGGATGACGGATTTCGAGAAGAGACGTGAGTATCCCACAATGTTGGCCATCGCGAGGCGTTGTTCTGCCATGGTCCGGTTGAGATACTCAGGGAGGCCTTCCGAGAACCGGTTTTTATGTGATGATCAATGTCTGAGACGGATGTTCCTTCCCTGAGGCGGTGCCCGAGGTTCTCCTTGTTAGAGGGCTTGGTTACCAGGCTAGGCGGTGCCCAAACTTCGAGTATGATCGACTATTACGAGTTTTGATTTCAAACAGGGAAGGAAGAAATCATAGACAGCCCGACGACGTCCTATAGTTCCTACTGGGCAGATGAGGACGAAAGAACGCCCAGGTACGCGTACCAAATCTGCCAGGAGATGCATAGATTGCGCCTTTTTAAACAAGTGGTTCGGGCTCTTAGTGTCCTCTCTTTGCTACACAGTCATTGTTCTCCTTAGTTAGGAATTGAACAGGACTCAAGGTACAGCGGTCAAAGTATCGGATCAAGTTCAGTATCTCGAGTAAAATCACCTGTACCATATGCATAAAGAAGGCAGCCAAGAAGAAGCGCAAAGCACCAAAAAAAGTAGTAGTAAAGTCAGGCCGTCCCTCGCGTCGTTCGACCATGTACCGTTGGGTAACCGCATTGCACTTGCACTAGGAAACTTCCATCCACTATAGAAAACACCATCGCTTGTTGGGTCTTCTATTTGTTCTGCACCTGTCCGCTCCGGTATAGCGACTCGCGAAATACCAAATGAGAGACTTTCGTATAGAGGCTGACCAAGATAGTGCGACCGAGTCTGAAGATGTCCAGAGCACTGTTGTGATACCAGGGACAAGCCGTTGACAAGACAGTGGCGGCATCGTCCGCATCCTGATCCTTCATCGCTCGTATTTTCTTCGCGAATTTTGATAGAGTTTGGACCTTCGACCGAGTCTTCCATAGTTCTACTTCTCCGCACGCGGACTAGAACAGATTACTACTGCAGGGATTTCACGCAAGGGAGACATACCGAAACTTCGAAGGCCTTCAGAAATCTCTGTGCGTGTGGGATGTCCGATAGCTGTCTACCTTCTGACTCAGCGATAAGGGCGATTAACCTGCGCATGTCCCTCCAAGCCCATATACACCTCAAAGTATCAATATGCAACGTGTGAATATGTTGGGCAATGTTGGACAAGTATGCATTTGCTTGAGTTCCGGAACAACATGGGTTGTGAACACTGTAACTTGAATGAATAAGAATATACCCTGATATGCCAGAAGGCCTAAGAGATAGATTAAACAAAGGACACGAATTGATAACTCCTCAGAGACGGAAAAGAAAAGCGGAGCAACGAGTACCGAAAGGGTACGTGTCAAGCACAACACCGCACAACACACGTAGAGATAGGTGTAGATGTCATACAGGCCCGTCGGGTAGAAGACCTGTATGAAGTGTTAGCACAAGGCACAAATATGATGTTCTCGTTAACCTTGAGCTGCTTATGCATTACACTCTCTAGCCTCTGCGTATCACGTCCGATGATTAAATTAGCTGTTTTGCATCGTTTCCGAAGACTAGCGCTGAAAACGCCAGTACCAGAATCGATTTCTCGAGAGATGTCGCCAATGAGCCCATGGCAGGTATCGTTGAGATGTTATTTGGAGTCAAGCATAGTGTCGACAGTGCACAGAACTCTCGTGATATACGGGCGGGTGAAACTGTTGTAGGTTAACTGAAGGGTAAACGAATGGTTCCAAGTTTCCTACTTACGGCCAGATGAGAATATCCCAACAAGAGGGCGACGAGACAAGATCAATCAACTCGATGGCTGTGAATGCAAACTTCTCGGCAGCATGATACGAATAAGGATTTTCGAAATGGAGGATTCTCCACAAGTAGTCAATCCCATACGTGTCGATGATGAAACCGTCCTCGATGGGTAGCTGATAGAAGTCATGCCAGTGGGAGTAACTGAAATAATCGTAATCCGACATCTGCATGAAAATTCACAAGAACGATGGTGGTACTAGTCCGAAGTTCGAAAGTTCTGATCACGTGTTGACCACCTTTCTTGGAAGTTGTACAATGATAGTGACTAGTGGCCTTCGGCTGAGGGATTCGATACATTGCTTTCTTCTACAAAAACATTAACGGGTCAGGCACCATGAAGAACTGAACAAAATGCTCCGGGTCGACATCAGAAGGCTGTTTATTTAATGCGTGATTACAATAGATTCATGTACGAAGATTATACAGAGTGTATAGTACTACTATAGAGTAACGATAAGTAGTATACGGTCCAGGTGAATGGAATAAATGAGAGGTTCAAGACCTTAAATACTAACTTGACCCATTTACATGCCCCATGTCGCCTTGATCACATCAGCAGCACGTTCGGCCACAATATAAATCATGGCTTGAGGATGACCGGCAGGAATGATAGGCTAAACAACAATATATCATCAGACGAGTCCAATGATAAAGTGATAAAACTTACAAAGACCGAGGCATCGACAATCCGGACTCCCTTAGCCTTCTTGAGCAGGAGCTGACCGTCAGCAACCCCTTCACCATCCTCCTTGCTTAACCTAGCAGTGCAGAACGGATGCTTGATAGTAGTCGCCCATTGGCTCATGTATTCCTTGATACCGTCATCTGTGGTAGCGTTCACCGAGTCAATATACGGTCCAGTGATGTACCCATCCCAAGCATGTGCCGCAGCAAAGCGTTGGGCGGCCTTGACACTCTCAACCATAACGCTGACATCATAGTCACTGGTGAGCATCTTGGGATCGATCGTAGGGTGCTGGAAAGGATCATTGGACGCAAGAGTTATGGCTCCGCCTGAATAGAGTTAACTAAAAAAACCGCCTACGAGATGAAGAGAAAACATACGAGAAGTAGGTGTAACGATAACATTGATGATGGAGAAGTATGACCCGGAGGTGGGCTGAGTTTGAGACGTAGTGAAGAATCCATTCTGTTTGGAGTTTAGTGATAGAAGGAACGGACATGATGAAAGCACTGACAGCGTAGGCATGTTCATAATGAGGAGCACTATGGTTGGATTGAGCTCACAGACACCGTAAACAAACATAGGTGACATACCCAGGTCCAGAAGTCGGATCTTCAAACTCAGCAAGGACGGATGAATTCTCCGGAAGACGGTAGAAGGCCCTGTCGCCCTCATCAGCGATCAAACCCAGACTCACTATCAAAGAATACGTACATGTGATTCGATACTCCGTTCGCAGCAAGACGACCTGTTCCGTTCGCGTGGTATTGTTCGAGGGCGGCATCGAAGGCTGCTCCACCACGGAAGAGAGGATCCAAAGTCTCGTTGCTGTTTGCGTTCCACTGGATGGGCAACAACGGGTGATCGACCAGATTCTGGCCCACCTCGGGCAAGTCAACAATAGGATTGATGCCAACGGCGGTCAAGTCCAAAGATCTGCCAATTCCCGAGAGCATGAGTATCTGGGGAGTTCCAATGGCGCCTGCCGATAGAATGACTTCGCATGTGGCAGAAACATTGTAACGAGGGGCTAAACATAGGCAGCGTCAACTTCACAGCTTAAAAGAAAAGCGGAATGACGCACCAGTAGGATTCTTAGCAAACTCGACGGTGGTGAATACGGGAAGACCATCGATTTCACCATTCTGAATCAGCCTTGTGACTTGACTGTTGTAAACTAGGTCGAGATTAGAATAGTTGCTCAACGCCGGTACGAGGTACGCGGTCGCAGAACTGCTCCTCAGAGGTCCACCGATCGTACCTAATCAGACGTCAATCATACTGTTAATCTTACTCCAGATCGGAACAAGCTTACTGTGCATCCATGAAACGCCCAACATATTCCCAGAGTTATAATCCGGATTCCATGGGAATTCTTCGCTGAGTTCTGACGTTGTAGCGATCACTCGGTTGTCGATATCCGCCGCGTAGCCGTATAAACTTGTCTCCAGTGGCCCGTCGGTCCCGTGGATTGAAGGAATGTACTGTCCAGTCTCGTTATGACCCTGTACAAGGATTGGTCAGTGAAAATTCTTCTTCATGAAGACAAAAGGCTCACATCGTTAGGAGGGACGTGCTTCTCATTCTATTGGGAGGTATCAGCATCAAAACTTGAATATAAGATAGTAAAATCCATACCTTAAGAGCATAGGGGAACAAGTTATCCCAGTTCCAGCCGTCGTCACCAGCCAATTCAGCAAAACGATCATAGTCGTCTGAAGAACCGCGAGTGTATACCATATAGTCTGTTTCACAGATCAGAAAAGATGTCGCTGCAAGAATCATTACACTTACTCGTTGAACTGCTGCCTCCAAGAACATAGCCTCGAGGGTAGGCAATGAGTTGGTTGTTCAGCGGCTCCTGAGGTACTGTAGTATAATTCCAGTCGAAGGACGTGTGCGGCGATGCTTGAGGACCAAGGAATGGAATGGTGATGAGGTCAGAATCGTATCCGACATTGTTTCTCCCTGCTTCGATAACGAGAACAGAGGTGTTGGCATTCTCAGCCAGGCGTGCAGCTATGACGTTTCCCGCCGTCCCCGCTATCAATCAATGATAAGTTAACGCGTCAGGTATGTCTCGAATGCACTTGCTCACCTCCTACGACGACGAAATCGTACTGTTTATCTGTAGGTAGCTGGCTGGGATCATCGTATACGGCTGCTAAGCCTGTTTTGAGCGAAGCTAAGGCGATTCCGAGAGAGAGAAGAGAGAACATGATAGGTGATTCCAATGCTGGAGAATTGAAGAGGAATCAAGGACCTTTTTATACAAACCAAGTGCCTCAGATTTCAGCGTTAAGCAAGGCAACAACAGAGCATTACCGGCTAAGCATCCAGACATTACCACGCGGGCGCGTATCAGGTATTGACATTGACGGCGCGCTGTGCCTGTCGGTGAATAATAAAGAGTGATCCGTGTTTGAATGAAAACGCGGAGAAATAAGGTCCCAATCCGCGTGAATGAGACATATCCGAGTTTGGGCGCAATAGAAAACGTGAGACAATGATGGAGCTGTGCATCGGGGGGAAATCATTCGAGAAAGGTGATGCGATAGTCGTAGATCCGGCGAGCGAGGGGTTAGTCTCTAAGATGTCTGTCAAAGAGCAGGGTTTCAAGCCCGTGAAAAAAGAGCACAAGGACACATAGAGCGTTCCCCGAACAAAAACGAAGATCGGAAATCGGAACTTGCAGCGCTTCCTGAAATAATAGTGAGAAACGCTAGAAATGACATCGTGTTGTTGCGCTAGAATAGCTTGCAACTCTTTTGGTATACACAAAGGTCAATGAAGCGAGCGGTAGCGGTGTTAGGAAAGCTCGCAGTTAAGCTACCTCGTCCTAGAACCCTAGAACGGCGTTCTGAGTCGCTTATACGTCCCATAATGCCCGTTTATCCTTTTGACATGTCAATAATTGTCTGACAACCACGCAATTGGATTAAAACTCACAGGAATATACTGTACATGCTTATCCAAGGATTTTAGGACGAATAAACGGAACGCGGAACAGTACAGTCCAGCACAAAAGGGGAAAATGGAAAAAACCTCAAACGTGACGGTGCTGTGACCGGCTCGACCGGCTTCGACACCAGACGACCCAAGCTATTCGCAGACGCCGTTAGACGCCGTTCATAGGACGCGTTCGCTTAATACTCAGTACTCCGTTGTTGAGATTTAACTCCTAACAGTTACGAATTTGACCGGACAATATTATCGCAGGCATCAGTGGAAGCCCCCACTGAACCCTACTAGACTCGGAGTCACCACGTTCGTATCAACAATAACACCTACCATCGTTTTGACATGGTACGGGACTAGCAAAACGATGTGCACAGTGGTCGGTGAGGAAGAGACGCTGCCAAAATTTTAAATGCATCAAATGGTATGCAGACGCATGTCAGCAGAGCTGTTTATTAGTAGGGTTGCCGACCGTTTGGGCTCGAATGCATTCAAACAATGCTAAGTACTGTTAAGACAAAGTGTTCTCAGTAGGACACAGGTAGTGGTAGTGAATGGCTGAGGGTACGGTGGAAGAGATTGACCGTGCACTGCACGCATTGTGTGAAGTCTGGGAGCGGCGTTCACTGCCGCGTAATGCTACTTACCTACCCACCTTTCAGACGACTAATTAGTGCCGGTCAAAATACGAGGGAAACAATTGAAACACGGATAACATCGAGGCTCGGCCCAGGCATTTGACCAGCAAAATGCTGCCGCTTTATCATTCAAGGGAATCCCGACTCGCTTCGCTATGGCCGAAAGTCTTGATCAAGCTATTGTCCACCCATTTTCCCAAGCTTCGCCCGGTTTGAAACAGCCGCTTACCAGGGGTGGTAGTTAACAGCTCGGGGAAAGCCTCTAAGTATAGACAGCAAAACTCCAGCTGAAATAAAACATATACCGGCGTAGGCTGAACTTGAATACACCCAACAAATCTCATTGTCATTTTCTCCGACAATGAACAGGATACTATCTACCCTACAGTCTTAATCAGATCACCAGTATACGAGGCGCCACGATGAAGATCAATCATACCTAGGAGAGATACTTCGGATCTGTTCTGGGATGCAAGCCTGTGAAAGTCAAGTCACCGACGCGCTCATGACTCTATTGAAACATGCCTTCGGTCTTGTGAAGAATCCGACATGTCGGGGACCGTCTCAACGACCAAAAATTCCCCTCCTTATACATCGGCGGGATACAGTAGACATCTACGCTTTGAAAAGTAAGGCTGATCCGATCGAGTCGAGTGGTAATTGCATACACCGTCCAGAAATAAACGTCGAAAACAAGACAACATATTCTCAGCCGGTATGGTACCTCAATGTAACATCAACTGTATGCCTATAATCACGGAAAATGCAGACTTATAGTCAGGGTTCCTTGAAGTTATTTCCTTTGAGACAGAGTTTGCTGTTGGAGAAATCTTTCTGTTCCTGGTGCATATGAACTGCATGGTCATTCGAGAGGTAAACAGTGAGTCGTCAGGGAAGTGGCACAAGGAGCGTTGACAGATGAGCGCGATTGCTGAATCGACTCCTTGGCGTTCGTGTGGATTCGCGGTGACCCACTCAAACCCGAGTCATGTGATGTCATTCTCGAAAAGGAAGTGTTTCTCCCCTCAAAACCCAAACGAATCGCTCTCTAATTTCTCCGCGTATCTCCTGCGAAGTGACGAAATCCACTCTACCGTTATCTTACAGCGCTTCCGAAAAATAATGAGAATCGCCAGAAATGACGTTCGTCATGTTTGCCGTGTGAAACCACCTTGTAAATACTTTTTTAGGTATATACATCGTTGAACCATTAGCGCTTTAGCCCCTGAAGGCCTGAGCCGTCCAGGAAGACGAGACGTCGCCAAATGTGTCGAAGGGTTATGACCAAACTGAGTAAATATATCAGACTAATCGGTCGATGTAACTGATGACGCCATTTTCTGCCATTCCCATTATTTTCCGGAAGCGCTGTAATATAGTTACCGATCATCAAAGTAGCTCGTGTACGGCCGACGCGTTTTTTTTCCACCTTCGAACATGATGATTAATGGACCGGAAATGAGTGGTGCACTGGTCCCACCTCTCTCTGGCTTGACGGGCGGGCATATAAGCTGCGTCGTTGCTGATTTTCTTCTCACCGCCTTTGCTGCATCTACACTCCATGAAGTCTCATACCACTGCGATCGTCGATGTTCCGGAGAAAAATGAGAGAGAAACCCGATCGCCGTTTTCGACCCTTCAAACGTTTTCACTGATAGCGACATGTAAAATGGCTATGTGGGTGAACGTACGTCGCTCCTTCTTCTCTTCGCAAAACATGTACTCATCCAAGTTCGATACACATTTTCTAGAGCTCAAATACTACCTCGGTCTCCATTTCATTACCGTCCATTGGTGAGGATTTGGATATCGAAGAGGTCCAACTACAATGACTGGTGAGTCTTTACATAATGCTGCGGCATCGAAATGGATTCGAATTTCCGAACAAATGCTATTAAATTCTCGGTACTACACGACGCTTGAGGATGTCCTACTCTAGGCCTGCCGGAACGCTTTCGACGAATAGATAAACTGGTGGAATCCAGAGTAGTAGCCAAGAGTATACCTTGCTCTGCCATTGAATACATGACTCTGATAAGAATCTGTGTGCACTAGGATTAATTGCCGTTTTTTACGTTCATTTACGATACGAGGAGCCTAATGAGATTTGTCTTCTGCATGAAATGAAGTCATTCTGTGAAAACGTGACAGAGAACCTTTACGCGTACTGCATCTACTCAGTAGTATTTTGTTCATTTCTTTGTTTCGACTCCTTCAAATACTTCTTCCATATCCGCTGCCCTTTTGGACAATCTGTCCGTACGTGCTCGATGAGGTCCGGAATCGTATAAACTGTATCATATCGGCGGTATACTTTATAGTAGCCTTCGTCGTCATAGGTGCCGTCCGAGTGAAACGCCCGTCGACAACCTAAGCAGGAGAGCCCGTCATTGTCAATCTGTCCCGAGCGTCTGTTGAAATAAGGCAGAGGGGCGGCTACCATCCACCGGGCATGAAGCTTCTTGTCTGTAATGACCCGCCGGGACATGTAAGACTCGTATGCTTCTCTGCGTTGGGCTGTGGAGTTGATACGAGCCATGAGCTGTGCCTCGCCTCCCGCATCTTCGACTGCCACTGCGCGAACTTTCGTGAAGCTCAGAAGACGCCGGAAGTCCAGGTATTCGTCCCAGCCACTTTCAGAGCAAACGGCGGGTAGACCCGCTAATGTAGCTGCTGATACTCCAAACACCTTGGTTGCCGCATACTCGTTGATGGGAAGGAGTTCGGGTGAACGAAGACAGGGCATACAGCATCGTCGGCACTCAAGGAGCCAGATTAGGGGGCCAAAACCACCACATGAGAAACACGAGGAACTGCGGCAAAGAGTATCGTAGAGGTCCTCGAGGGTGAAAAAAGAGCCAGCTTGTGTTCGAAGCATTGCTGCGAGTGCATCGGGGGCATAATAGGAGACGCGTTGGAAAGCAAATGATTCATCGACGGCGTTGCGTGCACCTCTGTTGACGAGTGAAAAGGATGCGACAGTGGTCTGGATATCGCAACATGTGGAAATGATGTTGTCCATAAGCTCGCTGGGAAGAACAGCGAGCTTCCCTAGTGTCGCTACTGGATCCTTGGCTACTATGCGCGTAAAAGGGCTACGGCCTAGGATGACTCCACTAAAGACTCGTGGGTATCCGACGACCTTGTCCATCGTAAGGCGTCGTTCTGCCATGGCGTGAGAGTAGAAAGGATTGCGTTGTATATGTCTGTTTGCCATTTGTCTTTACTGGTGGAGACACGTGCGCGATCGAGCATTGCAACTTGCTTCCTTGCTTCCTTCCCTGAGGCGGTGCCCAAACTTCGAGTTTCGATTTCAAACCAGGAAGGATGGAATCATAGACAACACGACGACACCCTATAGTTCCTACCGGGAAGATGAGGACGGAAGAACACCCAGGTACGCGTATACGCATTTTTAAACAAGTCGTTAGGGCTCTTAGTGCCCCTACTTCGCTATATAGTCATTGTTCCCCTTAGTTATGAATTGAACAAAACTCAAGGTACAGTAGTCAAAGTATCAGATCAAGTCCAGAATCTCAGGTAAAATCACTTGTACTGTATGCATAAAAAAGCCAGCCGAGAAGAAGCGCAAAGCAGCAAAAGAAGTAGTAGCAAAGTCAGGCCATTCTTCGCGTCGTTCGACCATGTATCGTTGGGTAACCGTATTGCACTTGCACTAGGAAACATTCATCCACTATAGAAAACGCCATCGCTTGTTGAATATCTTCTATTTGTTCTGCACCTTTCCGCTATAGCGACTTGTGAGATAGCGAATGAGAGACTTTCGTATAGAGGCTGACCAAGATAGCACGACCAAATCTGAAGGCGCCCGGAGCACTGTTGAGATACCAGGGACACGCTGTCGACAAGACAGCGGCGGCATCGTACGCATCCTGATCCTTCATCACTCGTATTTTGTCCTTGAATTTTGATAACGTTTGGACCTTCGACCGAGTCTTCCATAGTTCTACTTCTCCGCCTGCAAACTAGAACGGTTTACTACAGTTGAGATTTCACGCAAGGGAGACATACTGAAACTTCGAAGGCCTTCAGAAACCTCTGCGCGTGTGTGATGTCCGATAGCTGTCTACCTTCTGACTCAGCGATAAGGGCGATTGACCCGCGCATGTCCCTCCAAGCCCATATACACCTCAAAGTATCAACATGCAACGTGTGAATATGTTGGGCAATGTCGAACAGGTATGCATTTGCTTGAGTTCCGGAACAACATGGGTTGTGAACACTGTAACTTGAATGAATAAGAATATACCCTGATATGCCAGAAGGCCTAAGAGATAGATTAAACAAAGGACACGAATTGGTAACTCTTCAGAGATGGAAAAGAACAGCGGCGCAACGGTCACTGGAAGGGTAAGTGTCAAGCACAACCCCGCGCAGCATATGTAGAGATAGGTGTAAATGTCACACAAGCCCGTCGGGTAGAAGACCTATGTGAACGTTAGTACAAAAATCGAACATGATGTTCTCGTTAACCTTGAGCTGCTTATACATTATGCTCTCTAGCCTCTGCGTCTCACGTCCGATGATCAAACCAGCTGCTTTGCATCGCTTCCGAAGACTAGCGCTGAAAACCCCAGTACCAGAATCGATTTCTGTAGAGATATCGCCAATGAGCCCATAGTAGGCATCATTGAGATGTTGTTTAGAGTCAAGCATAGTGTCGACAGTGCACAGAACTCTCGTGATATATGGGCGGGTGAACCTGTTACAGTTAACTGAAGGGTAAACGAATAGTTTCAAGCTTCCTACTTACGGCCAGACGAGAATATCGCAAAAAGAGGGCGACCAGACAAGATCAATCAACTCGATGGCTATGAATGTAAACTTCTCGGCAGCATGATACGAATAAGGATTTTCGAATTGGAGGATTCTCCACAAGTAGTCGATCCAATACGGGTCAATGATGAAACCGTCCTCGATGGGTAGCTGATAGAAGTCGTTCCAGTGGGAGTGACCGAAATAATCGTAATCCGACATCTGCATGAAAATTCGCAAGAACGATGGTGGTACTGGTCCGAAGTTCAAAAGTTCTGATCACGTGTTGACCACCTTTCTTGGAAGTTGTACAATGATAGTGACTAGTGGCCTTCGGCTGAGGGATTCGATACATTGCTTTCTTCTACAAAAACATTAACGCGTGAGGCACTATGAAGAACTGAACAAAATGCTCCGGGTCGACATCAGAAGGCTGTTTATTTAATGCGTGATTACAATAGATTCATGTACGAAGATTATACAGAGTGTATAGTACTACTATAGAGTAACGATAAGTAGTATATGGTCCAAGTGAATGGAATGAATGAGAGGTTCAAGACCTTAAATATTAACTTGACCAATTTACATGCCCCATGTCGCCTTGATCACATCAGCAGCACGTTCGGCCACAATATAAATCATGGCTTGAGGATGACCGGCAGGAATGATGGGCTAAACAGCAATATATCATCAGACATGTCCAATGATAAAATGATAAAACTTACAAAGACCGAGGCATCGACAATCCGTACTCCCTTAGCCTTCTTGAGCAGGAGCTGACCGTCAGCAACTCCTTCACCATCCTCCTTGCTTAACCTAGCAGTGCAGAACGGATGCTTGATAGTAGTAGCCCATTGGCTCATGTACTCCTTGATACCGTCATCTGTGGTAGCGTTCACCGAGTCGATATACGGTCCAGTGATGTACCCATCCCAAGCATGTGCCGCAGCAAAACGTTGGGCGGCCTTGACACTCTCGATCATGACGCTGACATCGTAGTCACTAGTGAGCATCTTGGGATCGATCGTAGGGTGCTGGAAAGGATCATTGGAAGCAAGAGTTATCGCTCCGCCTGAATAGAATTAATTAAATAAACCGCCTATGAGATGAAGAGGAAACGTACGAGAAGCGGGTGTAACGATAACGTTGATGATGGAGAAGTATGACCCGGAGGTGGGCTGAGTTTGAGACGTAGTGAAGAATCCATTCTGTCTGGAGTTTAGTAATAGAAGGAGCAGGCATGATGGGAACACTGACAGCATAGGCATGTTCATAATGAGGAGCACTATGGTTCGATTGAGCTCAAAGACACTGTAAAAAGATATAGACGACATACCCAGGTCCAGAAGTCGGGTCTTCGAACTCAGCAAGGACGGATGAATTCTCCGGAAGACGGTAGAAAGGCCCTGTCGCCCTCATCAGCGATCAAACCCAGACTCACTATCAAAGTATACGTACATGTGATTCGATACTCCAGTTCGCAGCGAGACGACCTGTTCCGTTCGCGTGGTATTGTTCGAGGGCGGCATCGAAGGCTGCTCCACCACGGAAGAGAGGATCCAAAGTCTCGTTGCTGTTTGCGTTCCACTGGATGGGCAACAACGGGTGATCGACCAGATTCTGGCCCACCTCGGGTAAGTCAACAATTGGATTGATGCCAACGGCGGCCAAGTCCAGAGATCTGCCAATTCCCGAGAGCATAAGAATCTGAGGAGTTCCGATGGCGCCTGCTGATAAAATGACTTCGCGTGTAGCAGAAACATTGTAACGAGGGGCTGAACACAGACCATGTCAATACCATAGCCTAAAAGAAATGTGGAATGACGCACCAGTAGGATTCTTAGCAAACTCGACGGTGGTGAATACAGGAAGACCATCGATTTCACCATTCTGAATCAGTCTTGTGACTTGACTATTGTAAACGAGGTCGAGGTTGGAATAGTTGCTCAACGCGGGTACGAGGTACGCGGTTGCAGAACTGCTCCTCAGAGGTCCACCGATCGTACCTAATCAGACGTCAATCAATCATACTGTTAATCTTACTCCAGATCGGAGACCTACTGTGCATCCACGAAACGCCTAACATATTCCCAGAGTTATAATCTGGGTTCCAAGGGAATTCTTCGCTGAGTTCTGACGTTGTAGCGATCACTCGGCTGTCGATATCCGCCGCGTAGCCGTATAAACTTGTCTCCAGTGGCCCGTCGGTCCCGTGAATTGAAGGAATGTACTGTCCAGTTTCGTTATGACCCTGCACACGGATTGATCAGTGAGAATTCTTCTTCACGAGGCAAAAGACTCACATCGTTAGGAGGGACGTGCCTCTCATTCTATTGGGTGGTATCAGCATCAAAATTCGGATATAAAATATTAAAATCTAGACCTTGAGAGCATAGGGGAACAAGTTATCCCAGTTCCAGCCGTCGTCACCAGCCAATTCAGCAAAACGGTCATAGTCGTCTGAAGAACCGCGGGTGTATACCATATAGTCTGTTTCACAGCTCAGAAAAAGACGTCGTTGCAAGAATCGTTGTGCTTACTCGTTGAACTGCTGCCTCCGAGAACATAGCCGCGAGGATAGGCAATGAGTTGGTTGTTCAGCGGCTCCTGAGGTACCGTAGTATAATTCCAATCAAAGGATGTGTGCGGCGATGCTTGAGGACCAAGGAATGGAATGGTGATGAGGTCAGAATCGTATCCGACATTGTTTCTCCCTGCTTCGATAACGAGAACAGAGGTGTTGGCATTCTCAGCCAGGCGTGCAGCTATGACGTTTCCCGCCGTCCCCGCTGTTGATTAATGATAAGTTAACGTGTCAGGCACGTCTTGAATGCAGTTGCTCACCTCCTACGACGACGAAATCGTACTGCTTGTCTGTGGGTAGCTGGCTAGGATCATCGTATACGGCTGCTAAGCCTGTTTTGAGCGAAGCTAAGGCGATTCCGAGGGAGAGAAGAGAGAACATGATAAGTGATTCCAATGCTGAGGAATTGAAGAAGAACCAAGGACCTTCTTATACAAACCAAGTGCCTCGGATTTCAGCTGTAAGCAAGGCAACAACAGAGCACTACCGGCTATCATCAAGACATTACCGTGCGCGCGCGTCACAGGTATCCGGGCTGAGATTCGTCTGAGCAGCCACAATGACATTGGCGGCGCGCTGTGCCTGTCGGTGAATAATAAAGAGTGATCCGCGTTTGAATAGAAACGCGGAGAAATAAGGTTCCAATCCGCGTGAATGTCATTGAATACGTTTCGACACTGTCTGGAATATCGAAGTAACGTAAGACTTAGGCACAGAAAGGAGACGCATCAATGAATCCACTTGCTGACCCGACGCTAGGGCACTGCCAGGATTGGGCGCAATGAGAAACATGAGACAATAATGGAGCTGTGCACCGGGGGGAAATCATTCGAGAAAGATGATGCGATAGTCGTAGACCCGGCGAGCGAGGGGGTAGTCTCTAAGACGTCTGTCAAATAGCAGGGTTTCATGGCCGTGAAATAAGAGCACCATGATAAATAGAGCGTTCTCTGAAGAAAGACGAAAACCGGAAAATGGAACTTGCAGCGCCTCCTGAAAATAATGAGAAGCATTAGAGATGACATCGTGTTTGGCGTGCTAAGATAGCTTACAACTCTTTGAGTGTTACGAAATGATGCGCTACTAGCGGCATTGGGGAAGCTCAAAGTTGAACGAACTTGAACGCGTGTCCTAGAACCCTAGAACGGCGTTCTCAGTCGCTTATACGTCCCATAATGCCTGCTTATCCTTTTGACACCTCAATGATTGTCTGAAAACCACGCAATTCAATTAAAACTCACAGAAATATACTGTGCATGCTTATCCAGGTATTTTAGGATGAATAAAAGGAACGCGGAACAGCACAAAGGGGGAAAACTGTGAAAACTGGATTAATTGACCATCTTGATACAGCTAAGTATGACCGGCTTCGACACCAGCCGGGCCGGGCCTCACCCGGGTATTCGCAAGCGCCGTTCTACATAGGACGCGTAAGTAGTGAACGCGTTCGCTCAGTACCAGTACTCAGTTTGCTGAGATTTAACTCCTGAAGGTTGACTGATCAATATTATCGCAGGTATCGGTGGAAGCCCCCACTGAAACCTACTAGAGTCACCACGTTCATATCAACAATAATGCCTACATTGTTTTGACATAGTACAGGACTAGCAAAACGATATGCACAGTGGTCGGTGAGGAGAAGATGTCCCCAAAATTAAACTGCATCGAAAGATTATGCATAAGCATGCCAGCAGGTGTCCATCTGTTTGTAAGTAGGGTTGCCGGCCGTAAGTTGGGCCATTCAGAATGCATTCAAGTTAACCATCGTACCCAGGAGAGATACTTCGGATCTGTTTTGGGACGCAAGCCTGTGAAAGTCAAGTTACCGGCACTCATGACTCTTTTGAAACATGCTTTCGGTTTTGAGGAGAGCCCGACGTGTCGGAGACCGCTTCACCGACCAAAGATTTCGCTCCTCGTACGTCGGCGGGATACAGTAGACATTTACGTTTTGAAAAGTGCAAGACTGATCCTGATCCGATCATCGAATCGAGTGGTGATTGTATGCACCGTCCTATAACAAAAGTCGCAAATAAAACAACGTATTCTCAGTCTGTATGGTACCTATCAGATCGACTAGCTATATGCATAGAATCACGGAAAATACAGACTTACAAGGATTCCTTATTTCCTTTAAGATAGAGTTTACTTGTTGAAGAAATCTGTCTGTTCCTGGAGCATGTGAGCTGCACCGCAGCTCGACAGGTAAATACCGCGTCGTCCAAGCGTCGTCAAGGAAATGGCACAAGGAGCAGTATTGACAGATGAGCGCGATTGCTGAGGAATTCAACTCCGTAAGATCGGCTTGTCGGGACTATTCGGGTGTATTGCCTCGGATGTAAGCCGAAGCCTGTGATTGGTCGTGGACAACTCTTCTCCGCAACCGGTCTCAGTGATCAACACACCTTTCCTCGTCCACCACGATGTCCTCGTCTCTCATTCTCCGTTCGTCGCTGTCAAGGTCGCTTGCTCACCGTCTGGGCTCGAGGATTCCCGGTGCTGGTACATCTTGTGCACTGTCATAGGACCGGCAATATGCTCAGTATCTGTTCTGTAGTGGCGGTCAGGCATGCGTCTGATTCATCCGCATACGTTCCCGGTGGACGTACGTTTTCTTCAATATCGCGCTTAGCGTCGCTTTTATTCACCTTTGCCTAGCTGTATACAAGGGAACCGTGAACGACCCGACATCATTCCCGACGCCCTCAAGGTCAGCGGGCTCGTACCACTGGGCATTCGAACGCCTTTTGTCGGCTGGGCTCATCCCTTTGACTGCCGCTGCGTTCGTCACGAGCGGTACCAACTATCCTGTTCTCGATGGTGTCCTAGGAGTCAGCTTGGTCATGCACAGTCATATTGGGGTACGTTCCGTGATCAACCGAGGAGAGCAGAACGCTCAAACGTATTTGTCTAGTTTGATTCGATCTTCGTCGACTACCTTCACAAGCGAAAATTCCCTATTCTTGGGCCCATCATGACCTGGGGCTTGAGGACTGCGACTGTGGGTGTCCTTGTCGGAGTGTACCAGTTCAACACGAACGATATTGGTGAGAGCTTTGTTTCAGACTCCTTTCTTTCTCGAATGTTGAGTGTATTTATTTAGGTCTGACGGAGCTTATTGCGAAAGTTTGGACCGCATAGGCCGGTTTTCTTGTATCAGTATACGATTTCAGCAATCCATGGAATTCACACGTAACACACGAACGATGCAGTTGTTCGAGCAGTTATCTGTGCCAGGACCATTCAGCAAGCTTTGTATTATGAAGGGATCCAATGGTATGCATATTATGTACAGTCATAACTATCCGGCCGAGAACCAGTCTAATAATTAAGCAAAAGCATATAGTACCAACCCCAGCTCACCGAGACTCGATAGACGGAGTGCGAGTGATAAGTCTCGAATCTGATACACCCTTCTCCAAATCAATAGTAGAAGTCGGCATTGTTTGCGACGCAGTCGATGGTGCGGAGTCAATGACATCAGCCTCTTGAGGCCCATGATCAGCCACTATGCCAACGTTCCAGAAAAAAAGGACCGCGAATATGGTACCTATGGTGTGTGATCTGAAGGTCAGATCTACCTCCCAAAGCCCGAAAACGTTCACATACCAACGACTCCGAAAGCAAATGAGCCCCATGCTGCGGCTTTGTAGCCGTCCAGTAATGCTTCTCGAGGGGCATTGCTATTACTGACGTCGACAATAACTCCCATTTTTGCTGAATTTTGTGCAACGACTCGATTGTAGATGATGGTCGTGACTGTTACACCCAAAGCTGTTCCGACCTATGGTGCCAGTGAGTTCCATTATATTTCGTCATGCTTCATACCAACGCTTACCTGGTTCATTGTTTGGAACAAAGCGCCGGAAAGGCTTTGCTCATGGGGTTCGACAATCTTCGCGACAAAGATTGTCCCTGACGCAAAGACGAAATCGGCACCAAACACGGACAAGATGGCACTAGGGAAACCGAATCGCCAATATGAAGCATTGGGGTCGATCAGGGCAAAGAACAAGGATGCGCAGCCAGTGGTCAGTGTTCCGGTAGCTTGAAAGAACAATAAATAAACAAGCAACACCTTAATGGTCAAGCGTGGCTTACCCAAAATCCATACAATAGAAACGCGCGCAATAATCAAAACAACAATGGTATTGAGGATGATCCCCGTGACGAACATGGGAATGAACCTAACCATAGTGAGAATAGGTGTGTAATCCTCGTAATTTTGATAGAACAGCTAAACGCCGGATTATCAGGTGGGTTTCTCCAAATGCGATGTCATCTTACCTGTGCCCAAAAATTCCATGCTAGGAACGAGGCAAAGGTGAACAAGACGATGAGCATAATTGCGGCAAATTTTCCGTTTCCCTTGCTCCATAGGGAGAGCTTCATCATCGGGGGAGGAGTCCACATCGAATACGGTGCGTTTGGATCGAGCTGTACGCGCTCAAGATACCATTGCCAGGCCAGGAATATTCCAATGATGAGCACACCGACGATGAGAAGAGCAATGATATCTATGACACTCCTTCAACCCCAGAACGAGAACAGAAAGAGATATGAAACGTACAAGAGGTCGCCCATTTATTCGGAGCAATCTCCCCATCACTTAGAACAAAGACTATGAGGACTAGTCCGGCGGTTATTAAAAACGCTCCCAGCCAATCGATGCGACGATCGGCTTCGGTTGATGGTTCATCTTTCGGAATGCACCAAAGGCCCATAAGCAGGAACATCAATGTCAGGCCACTTGACAGAAAGAAGTTGCTCCGCCAAGTAGGGCTAGAAAGGTATCAGATCTTGTTCATACGTTGAATGAGAAGGCTCATACTCTGAGAGCTGGATCAAGGTACCACCCAATGCTTGTCCCGTAAACCCACCCAACGGTGCTCCAGCGGCAAAAGAAGCGAACGCAATGGACCGCGTTCGGCCGGGAGGGAAAGAATGTGCGAGAACACCCATCTAAGGGACAGATCAGCGAATGGAAGTCGACGGTAAGCGAACTACTCACTGATGCTGGAAGGGCTGCTGCGGCTCCGACACCTTGCAAACCACGAAGTACATCGAGGACAATTTCATCTTGTAAGACCAGTTAGGTTGTGAGTGAGGGGAGGGGAAGGTGTGACATGCTTACCTTTAGCAAACCCGCAGGCAAGTGTGAAGACGGCGAGCCATGCGGAACCGAGCAGGAATGTTATTTTGCGACCATACAGATCTGCAACGCGTCCGAACATGGGGAAGAGACAACCCTGCAAAAATGTTGAACAGTCTGGACAAAGTTATTCCTATTGAAAACATACAGAACTCAAAGCGTACGATGAGACCTGGAAAGAAATCAGTAAACGCCTTGTCAATTATCCAGCCCACTTACGAGCCATTCAAGCTGGGTTTGTTCGATATGCAGTTCTCTTCCTATGGACGGCAGAGACACTGCTGCTGAAGTGTTGTTCGAGCTCTTACCGAATGGTCGTATCAGCGAAAGGTCAATCGTCAACGAATACGGGGACTCACGTTCACCCACATTGCCAGCGTACATGTCGCGATGATGGCCACTGTCTGACCTTTCGAAAGCGGTTTTTTTGCGACGACTTCCTTCTCCATGTTCGAGGATATGGACAGCAAGGAACTAATGGGGGATCGCCAGAATCCATGAAGGCTTAAATAAGTTATCTCCTACTTCGAACCATTCAAGTGGGTCTTGTTACCAAGTTTAATTATATCATCCTACGCCACACGATAGCTCCGATAATTAGTTTTCCCGTCGTCGGTTTTTTCGCGCGAGTAGTTTTGTGGCGAAATGAAGGTCCTCCCCCGGACGTAGTAGACGTAGGAGTGCATCATTGTCGAGGGGAACGGTGCTGCCATAGAAGCGGTCGTTTTTCTCAGTACCTTCGGAACATCAGGTGGGTGTCCGAGGTTCCGTAACAGCCGAGCGTTCTTCGTGCGCTGTTCGCGTGACAATTGCCGCCTTTGGTATTGGGGCGCTGGGCAGCCTCAGGGCAGGGCATGGCAGTGGGATTGCGAAACGCTAAGACGAATTTGTGACATTTCCTGACTAACATTCTTTCAAGTGGCTGGGTATATTGTAGACAGCATCTAGTATGCATGGTGATAAGGTACAAGATGAAGGCAAACATATGACCTACGTAGAGCAGGTGTCGCTGATTGTGTTTTTGAATTTATATAGTACTTCCTTCCAGTCGGTGCTCAAACCTTCTAGACATCCTCATGATCCTGTTCCCGGTCTATTTTTGACTTAGCGACAGTAATTTCATCGGCAGTGCCATCGTCAACGTATGACCGCCCAAGGCCAAGATTTGACTGAGGTCCATGATAATGTCTGTGGCCATCGACGATATACCATGCGCTGGCCAAGAATATTAGCAGATTTCAAGAAGGAAGTAATTCATCAGTAACGTACAATGCTAGAACCATGACACTAATCGTTATCACCTAAAACTTCCCCGTCAGCACGGTGAAACGGGAAAAACGTGTTGGGTAAAAGTTCTTACCGAAGTATAGTTCATGTTCTCCTTCGTAATGGGTTTCACGGTCGGGAACGAGAAGATCACACACACGAAAATGGTCCACAGGATACACGTCCAATTCATCGCAGCCCCCAGGAAGCCATCACCCATATAAAAGGGACCAGGTTTGAACATGACCTCGGGGTGGTTTTGAAACACCCGTCTGAGGAAGATGGGAATGATGTAGCTCAGGTCCAGGGCCATGGCGGTCAGCGAGAAGATGGCATTGGCGGCAATGGGACTTGCGAGGTCCAGCAATCCAGGAAGGACGGAGAGAAAAGTAGTTAGGAAGATAGCTCGGAGAGAGGTGTTGGTCAGCTTGGAGTTGTGGCCAAAGTAACCGGCATCGGGGAGCCCTACGATGGTTTGATATGAATCTCAATTCGGAATTGTGGTGCTGAGAGTGGGCGTACCGTGGTCACGGCTGAAGGCGTAAACAGTGCGTGACGCAGCCTGTAGGCTTAGTAAGGCTGCAGGCTTAATCACGAAATGCCAGCTCACGAGATATGTGCAGTGGCGTCGTAATCCTAATAACTAATTAGCGCCGGCAAGCGGCAAAGCCCGCCACCTTCACTTACATAATGGATGGGACGACGCAAATCCAGATCGACTAGGATCGACTTAGTGTTGTGCATACCGCGAATCGGATGAAATACCCAGATCTAAAGAATCACCATCGCACGTAACACTTTACCTGAAATCCCGGATATTTTTGGCATGTCACACAGTCCATTTTCTAGATTTCAATGCGACCAATCACATAATTTCTTAAGGACCCTCCCTAGCTCGACTACATGCCTACATGGCCTATATAGTACCATATAGTGATGGTACACTTTCCAGATGGGGCTGGCCAACCACTGCCATGGATATCGGATCTGTGGCACTCAGTGACCATGATTCTATCATCTCATAATATTGGACTTTGAGCTTCCTATAAATGACTGATGACCAGTGTATCTTGTGACTCTGGAGTCTCATTATTGCCATGCCATCTGAGAAGGATACGACCACAGAGATGATTTCCCTTTTGACACTAGACAGTGATGAGGGACTTCTTGCTCGTCTTGGATATAAACAAGGTAGGCCAACTTCACTACATGTCAATCCTAGCTTACACCCTTCTCTATTCAGAGCTCAAGAGACACTTCACACCCCTAGAGATTTTTGGATTTGCTTTCAGTCTTATTGGGATTGTACCTTCTTTCTCATCAGTGGGTTTTTTTATCTTGGGATATCAATTTGTGTTCTGATTCACTGTATACAGATCCGTGCTAATCTTCTCCATCCCCAATGGAGGCGCTTTTGCGATGGTCTGGGGTGTAAGTCGACCTCATTTACATGCAGTAATTGGAACAATCCCTTGCTTATAGTGGACTGTCTGTTCAATATTCATTGCTGCAATTGCCCTCACCGTTGGAGACATAGCATCTGCTGTGCCAACGTCTGGCGGACTTTATTACTGGACGTTCATGTTCTTGCCGGAGAAATGGCATGGATTTTTATGTTGGATGGTAGGATGTAGGTCCTCTATATTATATTCGGTGGCCTGAGTTAACTTGAGATAGATTCCAACACTATCAGTAATGTGGCTGACCTTACGAGTGTCAACTGGGGGTGTGCCGTGCAGATTATGGCGGCAGTGAGTATCGGGTCTGATCTCGCTTTTGAGGTGACTATGGCTCAAACCTTGTGAGTTGTTACCCGATCACCACCTAACAGAGTTGACGAGCCTATACAGTGGATTATATTGTGCTCTTGTCCTTTGTCATTGCCTGATATGCACCCTCAACTTGAGTATTATGGCTAGATTGCAAACCGCTGTAGTGATAATTAATGTTCTGTCAGTTTCTTTCCACCTTCCTGCTCATCTACTGAAAAATTCTTGTATTACAGCTTGTTCTGTGTGATCATCATAGGCCTTCCAGTGACAACTCCTGAACAATTCAGAAACAATGCAAAATTTGCTTTCAAGGACTTCACCAATGGTCAGTTTTCATGCTGGAAGTCTTCACTGGCTCATGACGTTAATCAGTATCTGGATGGCCCAATGGCTTTGCGTTTATCCTTAGCTTTTTAACCCCTTTATGGGGTGTTGGTGTGTCTTGTTTCTTGTGAAAATGCCTTTTTGGCTGATATACTATAGGAGCATTTGATGATCCCATCCATATGAGTGAGGAAGCAGCCAATGCCAGCATAGCCATTCCAATGGCTATCATTTGCTCCATCTTTTCTGCCACTATTTTTGGCTGGGGTAGGTTTCTGTCATTGAATGACCATGGTGCCGGCAGCTTACAAGCCTTGTTACAAAGCCATGAATATCATGCTAGTCTTCTGTATGGGTCAAGATTACCAAAGTATCATTGATAGTCCTATCGGTCAGCCCATGGCCATGGTGGGTATTCAACGAGTCCTATAGAAGACAGCTTGTTAACCGATGAATTAATTGCTGATTAGATATTGTTCAATTCCTTCGGGAAGACTGGCACTCTCATCGTGTGGTCATTTGTCATCTTGACACAGTAATCATCTCAACTCTATGTGTTATCCTCTCATCTGATGCCAATCCCCAGATTTGCCATGGGTACGAATCAAGTATGTGGATGTGGTATGCTGGCACCAGATACTATGCTGACTTGGACATAGATGATGACAGCCTCAAGGCAGGTAGAAAAGCTTTCACCTTCCGTCGCATTCACTCGCATTGACTGTTGGTATCGATTAAGATCTTTGCCTTCTCTCGAGATGGCAGTCTCCTGCTGTCCCAGTGGGTATACTACGTCAATCCTCAAACTCGGATACCAACTGTCATGAATCACCCCTATTTTTTGCTTATCATTATCTTATCTCATCAACTTGTCATTCGACTCTCGTCATCATTCCTCATACCTGATTCACATCATTCATGACCCGATCAATCACATGCATGATCCACCGCTCACACACATGATCCGTCTGATGGCCCATAAACTGATCACACTCTATGGGCTAGATCCTTCTTCACCCAGTCACGCTTCTTTAGGTCGCCTGTGATCACGCCCTAGGATGGCACGTACGCTCCTCAGAAGACAGCGCTGTATGGACGCTAGTCTTCTTCCTTGCAGGAGGACTTCTCCTATACCAAGCACCATACGATACAGAGGACCTAGAAGACAGCGCTGCATTGGGGCAGCATGCACCGAGACACAAGAGCAGTACATACTAGTAAATACCACCATGTATTTAAACAAGCCTTGCTGTGGTCTTACACCCAGCTTCGGCTAAAGTTATACACTCCTAACTTTTCACACAGAAACTCCCTGTTTCGTGCCTAAGGACTATCGTACCTTACCTAGCGATTGCAATGCCCTCTTCACAACTGAATCACCGAACGTGAGTGACAGTTTAGAGGCAACCGTTGTTCAATCCAAGTTAGTGCATTACAATTAGCCGAAGCTTGCTTCGCATACCCTCACCGTCGAACAAGCAAAGTTACACTGTTGTTCTACATATTCCTGTTACAACTATCTGCGATAACAGTGGTCATACTGTTAATCATAACCAGTACCTTCACCGTTGTTCAACGACGTTGACCGTATGAATCCAGAAGACTCTGAGACATATTACTCTGCGACTACCCTCGAGTCCATGCTCCTTCTATACGCCTACGAACTAGAATGAACACAACAAAGAGCACCGACCCTCCCGAGTGAGCGAGTAACGGACTCTAATGAATCCTCAATCGGACACCTCACTCCCATCAGACTCCGCCCAAGCACACCACAGCCCCCAGTCCCAGAAGACGACCACGTCTTCTCACAGCAAGACATGGAAGGGCAAGATGGTAGCAGGGGCGAAGAAGATAGGTCTTCCCCTCAGGAAGAAAGCACTGGATGAAACAGCATCTCTCCAAACAACGGAGACAATTCCAGAGAGCAGCTACACGTACGAGAAGCCCGAAGGATCTACATTGATGTCGCTAGAGAAAGAATCCTCACCGACCAAGGCCATGAAATACGCCTCCCAAATACAACACCGAGAGCCATTGAAGGAGAGTGGGTACGACCAAATGCCAGGCACGATGTGGGAAGTAACAGCGGCAGCCCAGATAGTTCAGACTACGGAAGTGCCCGGTCAACAGACGAGCACACCCAGCGGTCATGGGGAGAGCCCTTCGTGGCGAGAAGCGGCACAACAATGGAAGGTGAGTCAAGGGATACGACGAGGGATTCCCCAGAGCCAAGAATCCAAGGCCCTGGGTCCCCGACCAGCTCCTCCAGCTGGCTATCCTGGTACTCAGCAGATGGGACTCGACGAGTCCACGGGATCGACACTCCACGACATTATACATCGCTGATCCCTAGCTCAAGTCGATACGTTCCAGACCCTCCAATCCAACCTGACCCCAGAGAACGAGCACAGTGGGCAGAAGAGGAACATCGTGCCCCAGCCAGAAACAGAATTACCATCGCAGACCTCAGGGCATGGGCAGACACCTTCAGGGAGCCCACGACTGCACGAATCTCACCAGTTGAGTCCACTTCACCCATCGGGGGAACCCTCGACACAATCACCGAGGAAGAAAACCCTATCCCTCTCACACTCCCAAGACCCTCTGGGGCCCAGACCCCATACTATTCCGCCAAAGAAGACCCATGGGGAGAGCAGACAGATGCAGACGAGCTACTCAAGCAGCACCCTCATGCAGACTCTCCGCCGTGGCAGCGTAGAGTCTTATTTGCAGATACCAACGAGGAGGACACTGTCCTCTGGTGGTTCACAGGAGCCCAATCCCTCGCCGGAACTACCGACGTATCAAATCCCATTGAAACCGAGCTCGATCAGGCAAGTCTCACAGACTGGCCTCACTGCAGGTGCCGGATCTGCCGACGACTACGGGACTTGGCCTGAGCCCGATATAACGAAGTTGGACCCCACCCAGAGCTCGAACCTTTCCTCGAACCCGAACCCACCTTTCACGTCGAACCCCCCTTTATATCACAAAGAGAGCTTCAGTGGTGGGTCTATGAGAGAGAGGACTTCGACGACATCTTTGAAGAGTACCGAAGGTACTTTGCATATGTCTGGAATTGGAACCAGATATGGATCGACGGAAATCCCTACCTCTTACAATATGAACCCATCTTCCACCCAACCGACCATCTCGACTGACTGGACCCGTGGGTTAGAGCCCGGATACAAATCGACAGGCTCACCCGTATGAGAGAGTATGACAACGATGAACCCTTCTTCGACAATTCCAATGAGGAAGGTGACGAGTTTGTCCAGGGATCAAGTAGGAGACCCCACCGACGAAGAACTCTATAAAATGAACTGGGACCAGTTTTGGTGGCATATGCATGATAAACTACCCCACGAAACCTACTGGTCCACCACTCCACAGGGGTGAGCCTATCAACAGGCAGAGCCTGGCTCCCAATTAGAAAGGAGCATACTATCTCAAGAAACACAGTATATTGCTATAAACTATTGGAATATCCTACACCCCGACCGACAACTACTCCAAGGAGGCTGTTATGAAATCCCCAATACTGAAGGTTCGGAATCTGACTTCTCAAACCTGGGAATCCTCCAAACCACCACCACCGTTACCAGACCTGGGGGGAGTTCAGGATTATTTGCAGGCGGAAAACAACTAGACCAACACCTCCAAAGCATGGGAGGCACTACCACGACCACCACCTCTGGTAAAGGGAGCAGGCCAGCACCCGCTGCACCAGGAGGTGGCGGAGGAGGAGGAGGAGGCGGAGGCGGAGGTGGAGGCGGAGGACCACCACCCCCTCCAGTCGTGCCACCTACACCGCATAGTGATCAGAACCTCCGATCACTCCCTTGTCCTGCCCATCCACCACTGCCACCAGATCCGCCGGATGATTGGGAAATTGCGGCAGGGCAACCTAATCCATGGGGAGATGTTAAACCCACACTCATAGAAAAGCCAGAAGGGTTCTATGGAAAATCCCATGACCTTGACCGATTCTTCGATGACTGTGATGCCTACTTTGAAACGTTTTCAAAGTACTTCTCCCTTAACGAAACACACAGGGTACGGACCCAATCGAGTAGTATTCGCAGCCTCCCTATTCAAAGGAAACGCTAAGCAGTGGTGGGTGGACCAGCGACGAAAGTACTGGGACTCCCAAGCACGCCATCATCGGTACCCCGCATGATAACCTTCAAGGAAGAGGTGCGAAGACGATTTGAAGAAGTAGCAGAGGTTGAAATTCAACGAATCGAGTGGAAAAAGCTCCAGCAGTCCCAATTCAGAACAGCCGTGGAATTCTTCGACAAATTCGAAGAGCTAGCCATAAAAGCCAAACGATTCGACAACATGGACCAAATGGAAGAGGTAGTAAAGCAGGCCATTCGACCTCGCGTCAAGGAAATTATCATGGGAAGTGACAATCGTCGACCCCAAGGCTACTACGAATGGAAGGACAGAGTTGGCCACATGGACGAGAACTATCGAGTAGGGGTAGCCGAACGTGGAGGTCGCCCCGCAGGAACCGAGGGACCCAAATCGGGATCTGCCGGACGAACCAGCACCTCAACAGGGGGCAGAAGCGATAAAAGAGACACTACTGGAACCACCTATGGGGGTGAAGGTGAGCCCATGGACATCGACCGCCTCAAGAAAGAGAGACGATGTTTTTGATGCAGAAATACTGGGACACATCAGTTGGGACAACAAATGCCCAACTGACAAATCCAAATGGCGCCGCATAAAAAAGCCAAAGGCGACACCCTTCATGAAGAAAGTAACGCCATTCACACAGCGCCTAAGGGCCTTAATCGAAGAAGCTGAGCAGGAGGAAACCCCCACTACGACAAGAGTCGAGGAGGTAAAAGAGGAGTTGACCGAGGACTAGGTGATTCACCTCGGCCGACCAGGACTTATGTTTCAACTGGTATGCATTCTATTACGAAATTTAATGTTGATACTCTCCATGTAGGTACTACTGTGAATAATATGCCCCTTTTATTGCGCACCCAAGGAACTCAGACTGAATCACAGGACAGTTTTTGTCACCCATCCCACGGCGTAGAAAAGGATTCCCGCCTTCGCATTGACCAGAACCAGTCAATCGATAAAGAACCTCACCCACCAAGTCCTCGAGTGGGAGACTCCGGAGTATCGGAAGTCGATTCAACAGGCAGTAGAACCCGAGTATATCTACCTCGGGGAGCGAGCCCAAGCAGCTTAACGGCAACAGGCTTGGGCAGGCCACAACACGTGGTCAAACTTCCAGCAGGCTGGAAGGAAGAGAAGATCCCAAACAGTCGGATGGAGAGGCCCCAAGTAGGGGACGGATGGAACCCAAACCCGAGGGCAAACCAGAGTGAGGAGACCCGCAATGTGCGAGTCAAGGATCCTCTCCAACCCTCGGGAGACACGAATATTTCGGTTCTCACCGAATTGACGCTGGAGGGACCAAAGCATGGAGTACGAGGGATTTCCTCCACCGATACAACGTCTGTACCGGTAATGAACCCCACTAGGTGCGACTCGTGCACAACTCCAGAAACGAGCAAGTGAACCGCTGCTGCTGGTGGCGGCAGATCAAGAACGAGTAGGCCCCTCTGTGATGGCGGGGAACCCCTCGGAAAAGCGGAGACCCATGCCGCAGGGACAATGGAGGCCTGCAGCGTAATAGAGCTACCGGATGAAGGTTTGGCAGTAACCTCCATTGCCCCCGGAAGCAGGACCGATACCCCAGCTCGGATCAAGCTCCCAGCGGGGGAGAAGAAATTGCCTGATGCAGGGAAAGTTCTGAGAGAGTCGGCAAGCCCCCCGCGCCAGGATCAGACTGCGCCCAGTCGCCCCGGTGAAGATCGGTCGACAACCTGGGCCGCTGCTCCTACCCCAATTGTAGCAACAGCTCACTGTTGGAAAAGCAGCTGAGGCGAGGAATCAAGGGACTCCCACAAGACTCCCTGATGAGCCAATATGTGTGCGTCTGCGAAGGGTTACCGATCTACCCATCAGGGTAAAGGACAAGGGTGAGGACCCTTCAAGAACAAAGACCTCACAGGGCAAAAGCCATACTGTTCGAGGCAGAGACAAGGACAAGAAGTCTCTGGAGAGTAAGTCCTCGGGGAGCTGGCTCTCCCCTCGAGGCAACCAAGCAATTGAAAAGGTAATTATAACAGAAATTCCTGACGACGAAGACGATTTTAGTTACCAACAGAGTTTATGGAACTCTAAAAAATCCGGACTGTGCGGGCCATCCCCGAGTGGAAAAGACCTTAGTAGCGTAAGCGAACAGGCAGGAAGCTCAGTAACCGCAGAAGCACAAAGGGCCACAAAACCTGTGGTGAACGGCAACAAGGGGAAGCCCACGATGCCGAAAGAGGGAAACCTCGAGTACTCATCGGAGGAGTACCCTTTGGACCGACAATACCTGGAACCCTACACCTCATCATGGATCCGAAGGGCTATGCGTCTTACCCTGGACGCTGCCAAAGCCCACTTACGACAGTGGGTAGACCCCTGACATCTCAAGGAAGTAACCGACGAACTAGTAAAAGCTCTACTAGAACGTCCTCATGAAACGTGGGAAGAAACTGGCCGCAAAGCTCAATGGATGGCTGATCTTCGACAACCACCACAATATATCCGAGGAAGGAAGGGGCGGAATGTCATTATTTCCGTTCAATTAGAAACCTATGATACCCTGACTAAACATCCCGTTAAAGCCTTGGTAGACAGTGGATGTACGGGAAGTGCGATTGACCGAACATGGGTCAAGGAGCATCAGATCACCACCCGGACTGCCGTGCACCCAGTACTGGTATATAATGCCGATGGAACACGAAATGCGGGGGGTGACATCACTGATTACATCGAGGTCCACCTCGCAATCGGGGATCATACCGAATGAATAGAGTTGGCTGTGGTCGATCTAGGCACCACGCCAATCTTTCTAGGGCATGATTGGCTACAACGCCACAACCCCCTGATTGACTGGAACACCGGGACAGTCACCCTTGCACAATGTGATTGCCGGAAAATCCCCTTCCGACTACCCGATGAAGACCCGAGCCAGCAGTGGGGAACTGAAGTGGAAAAAGGGGATAGAATCCTAGTAATAGACTTCGAACAAGCCTTCCATGTGCGTGCCATGGGGACTAAATCCACCAATTTAGCTGCTCAGGCCCATCTCAATAAAAAAGAAAAGACTTTTGAAGAAATTGTACCTGAAATCTACCGAGACTTCATAGATGTATTCGCCAAAGAAAATTTTGACGAATTACCCCCACGAAAACCCTGGGACCATGCCATTGAACTAGTACCCAATGCCAACGCCAGCCTGGATTGCAAAGTATACCCCTTGAATCCCCAAGAACAAGACGAACTCGACCACTTCCTAGACGAAAACTTGTCCACAGGAAGGATTCGACCATCCAAGTCCCCCATGGCCTCACCTTTCTTTTTTGTCAAGAAAAAGGATGGAAAACTACGACCTGTCCAGGACTATCGCAAACTTAATGAGATGACCATTAAGAATCGATATCCACTCCCACTCATATCAGAATTAATGGACAGGTTGCGGGGCGCCAAGTACTATACGAAACTAGACGTACGATGGGGATACAACAATGTTCGTATCAAACAGGGGGACGAGTGGAAAGCAGCCTTCCGCACCAATCGAGGCCTATATGAACCCCTTGTCATGTTTTTCGGACTCACCAACTCCCCTGCAACCTTTCAATGGATGATGAATGACCTCTTCAAGGACTTAATAGCTCAGGGATTGGTCAGCATCTACCTAGACGACATACTCATCGCCACCAAGACCAAAGCAGAACACCGAACCATAGTTCAGAAAGTTCTGCAAATACTCCGAGCAAACAAACTCTTCTTAAAAGCGGAGAAGTGCGAGTTCGAAGTAGAAGAAACCGAATACCTAGGAGTAATCGTCAGCGAAGGATCCATTAAAATGGACCCTGTCAAAATTGCGGGAATCTTGGACTGGCCAAGGCCAACCAAGAAACAAGAATTACAGTCATTCCTGGGATTCGCCAATTTTTACCACCGATTCATTTGGCACTATAGTCACCATGTCAAACCTCTAACCCGACTTACCGGGAAGGAAGCATGGACATGGGGAAAGGCACAACATGACGCCTTTGAAACTATTAAGCAATAATTTCTAGAAAATGTTGTACTAGCCATCCCAAATAACGAAGGAAAGTTCCGAG